GATTTGCTACACACCCAGTTGTAGCGCAATTCCTCTGTGGGAGGAATTCACTTGTTGTGAGCAGAAGAAAGAGAATCTAGCAGAATGCTAGGGGCAAGAGCCCGCAACTTCTTGTTTATCCATCAACCACCCAGGGGAGGGATAAAAAATGAGAGATTAAAGAATAGAGAGATGTGCGCTGAGAGAAAAAGTGAGGAAAAGGGTTTTGTGAGAAAAGCCGAGCCTGAGGGCCGAGTGATGTGAGAATCACAAATAAGAAAGGGTGAGAAACAATACCCGGAGAAACTGGCTCCTCGTGCACCAAGAGGTATCTTGCCTTTGTAACACAGCTGAGTGTTGTGTTTGTGCATTTTGTTTGTCTCGATTCTTGTTTTGAGTCGTTTGAGTGTTAATAGATGTTTAGGTCATTTTACCTTATTTTTCCTTTGTTGAGTTGTGTTGAGGTTGTTCTACCTTTGTTTTCCATTGTTGAGTCGTTTTGGCTGTGGTCAGTTGTAGGCTCAATACCCGGTTGAGAACCCTTTTCTCATTTCAATTTCAAAAATCGTTTTGTGCTCAGAGTGCCGTGTCGTTCTCCACATTTGTGCAAAACAAGATTTTGTTCTTTCAAAAAAAAAAACTACAGGGTTTAACCTAGGTCATATGAGAACAGTAAAAGCAGGACCTATCTGAAGCTATATAGGTTCCAGACTTCGAAGCAAAAAAAAAAAGAAAAATGTCAGGCATCTGAGTTTGTTTCAACTTCTGCAAGTTCCGTTATCGCATCCTGTATGTTCAGAATGAGATGTGTGTTCAAAATTAAAAGAATACTGTGTTATGAGCCGTGTGTTCAGATCGAGCAGAGTTGTGATATGAGCTGCGTGTTCAAAATTAAAGTATATGAGCTGTGTGTTCAGAATTGAAGTGTGTGAGCTGCATGTTCAAAACGAAGCATATGAGCTGTGTGTTCAGAATTGAAGTGTGTGAGCTGCGTGTTCAACATAAAGTCTCGGTTTGCGAACCAGGCTCGGTTTTCTCTGTTTCTTTTCCTGAGGGGAGGGAGAGGTCCAGCAGACCATCTCTCAATGTCCATAGGCTACATCTGCATAGAATTTGCTTTCAATATTGCATAGAATATGCTCCTGTTTCTTGCATAGAAAATGCTCGTATCTTTTGCATAGAAAATGCACTCTTCCATACTTGCATAGAAAATGCACCTCATTTGCATAGAACATGCATTCACTTGCACTGTCTTGTGCACTTACACTTTGTATCTCACTAGCACTGTCTTGTGCATCTTGTGGTTGTATCTCACTCGCACTATTTTGTGCATTGCATATCAATCGCACTGTTTAGCGTATCGCATTGCCTTGTGCATTTCAAAATCAATCGCGCTGTTCAGCATATTGCACTGTCTTGTGCATTTGAAAATCAATCGCGCAGTTCAGCGTATCGCACTTTCTTGTGCATTTCAAATCACTCGTGCTGTTTAGCGTATCGCACTGTCTTGTGCATTTCAAATCACTCGCGCTTTCTTACGCATCGCACAGTTTTGTGTAATTTACACTCGCCCTGTTTAGCGTATTGCACTGTTTCGTGCAATTTACTTTCGCGCTCTTGCACATCGCACTGTTTTGTGCGTCACATTGTTTCATTCGCGCTATTTTGTGCATCGCACTGTTTAGCGTATCGCGCTGTTTTGTGCAATTTACTTTCGTGCTTTCTTGCACATCGCACTGTTTTGTGCATTACATTGTATCATTCGCACTATCTTGCGCATCCCACCTGCACTTATTAGTGCATTCCATTTCATTCGCGCTATTTTGCGCATCACACTATTTTGTGCACCTTACTTGCATCGTGCATGCATTTTATCGCGCTATCTTACGTACCTTACCTGCACTTGTTAGTGCATTGCATTCTATCGCGCTATCTTGCGCACCTCACCTATACTTGTTAGTACATTGCATTGTTTTGAATACAAACCGGCTTCGCGTAGCGTATAAGTCCAATTATCAAAGTCTTCTTTCATATCATTTGCATCCTGCCCCTGAACTACGCTGGTTTGATTCCTTGCAAAGGGATACGTAGGCAGCCTGCGGGCACAACCATTTATTTATCGGAGCGCAGCCCCTCTGTGGAAGAAACTCACTGTTGTGAACGAGAAGAAGAATCTAGCGGAATGCTAGGGGCAAGACCTTACAACTTTCTATTTATCCACCAACCACCCAGGGGAGGGAAAAAAATGAGAGATTGAAAAATAGAGAGATGTGCGTTGAGAGAAAAAGTGAGAAAATGGCTTTTTTCAGATAGAAAAACAGAGATTGAGTGCCAGAGTGATAAAAATGCACCTCATACCAACCAAGGCTCACATAATCACCATCAGACAAGCCAGAACCCGAAAAATCAAGAGTAAATACAGTAATATTGGATGGAAGAAGAATTGCAGCAGCCTCCAATGCTTCTATCCTGCATCCACTGCAAGGTCCACAGGAACAAAATGATTAATTTTCCACCTCTTAATATGTGAAGCACTCTTCATAGAGACTCCAAATTCTTTCAGAGAGTGATATAAGCAATATATCTTCTCAAGCAAGGAATATTTTGAGAACAATATGCAAATATTACACATACAAGATTCACTAACACATATGAGTGCTAAACCCACAGTCAAGTATTAAGTTTTCTGGCAATAAAATATCTTCAGTGATTGTGACAATCCTGTTTCCATGGCAGTATATGACACAAGGTAGGGGAGTGTCTTCTGGGAAAGGTGAAGGCACAAAATGACTGCACTGCAAGGTGTGGCCTCTTTGATTCCTTAGCTGCAAATTTGAAATAATACGTAGTCTGCGAAGCTTAAAACCATAATAAATATGAAACAGAATGTGTATTGTAAATAGGTAGTGGCAATGGAAGCTGAAAGTTTGGTAATGGATGTCCATACTTGCCTCAAGGTCCTGTCTTTTGTACTTTCTGCCGCAAGAGTAAAATCCTCTTCCCATAAATACTGATCTGGATTATAATCCGCCCTAGATGTCCAACATATAGATGGAACAACAAATACAAAGAAGATTAAACATTGAGAAACACTAGCAAAAGCTCATAGATGTTGCATAATATTAAGGTACAAGTTAATAACATGAGAATGTGAGGCACCACCATTTAATGTATGAGATGAGAGAAGTGGTCAATCTAATCAGCTATTTGCAAAGATTAATGACTAATTTGTTCCAGTCAATTGGTCCTATTGTACAAGGACCACTTGAAAGAATGTTTATTGGGGTAGTAAGAAAACCTGAAGCCTTAAATAAAGCAACTTGGGAGAATCTTTTTGGGTTAATTTCACTTTACTCCCATGTGGTTTACCTTGAAAACACATACACTCTTTGAACTTCAAAAGCAACACTTAAACCCTGTGTTCATGACTAAAAAAAGAAATAATCATTTTTTTTCAATGCATTTTAACAGAGAGAGTAATGCACACACATTTAGAAATTGACAAGTACATACTTTAGAATGCTATAACAACCAATATTGATTTGTGCCCCAAAAAAATAAACAAAACACAAAATAAAGCTTCTCATCTGTGGCATGGAAAGTAATGATTACCAAAGTGTTTAAGAATTGAAAAAGGCTGAACACTATAATCATTTAGTCTTGTACATCATAATGAAAGACAATGCTGCTGATAACGCCTCAAGTATGTCAAGGTATGCATAATTGAGAGAACTCCACAAGGAAAAAAGGTGATGGAGGGTAAACTTACAATGTGGAGAGGGATGAAAGCTCACCAAACATGTCATTCACTTGGCCCTGAAGTTGATTGTGACCAACATTTCTACAATCAAAGCACAATGTAACAACCAGTGGTTCAGTGTGAAGTTTTAAATAGTTTTGACACGAACAATAAAAATCAAATTTCGGATGCTTGACTAATAGGTATTTTAGGGAAGTCATCTAAGATATTGAATAAGGGATGCCACTAGTGAAGCCATTTCCAGCAAGGTTTCTGCATTATAAAAGGATTGCTGATGAAACAACCATAAGAAAACTAAAAAGTGCAATTTTTTATTTTTATTTTTTGATAAATGAAATTAAAGGACTAAAATAGAAGAGAAGGAAAAATCAGTAGGTATTAAGCATACAGTTGCGTGCAGTTTGGAGGAAGCTGATAAGGTATCTGGTTTCCAAGATTATTATTGCTTATATAACTGCAGAATTCATCAAATCACCACATCAAGATTATCAAACAGAAAGATGAAAACACCAGCAAATCATCTTAGAAGGCTATTGATCTTACAAATTGGTTACTGCTGTCAAACTTGCGAGCTGGTATCCCATTGACCCAGTAAGCCCAAGACCAGAATACTGCAGTGAAAAAGTGCGACCTGCTAATTTTCCTAAGAAAATACTTTGAAAGGCATTTTCCGAGAAAAACCCCAATAAAAAGTGCGAGTTTTTTTATATTCCTTACACTTCATATCTCTTCATACCAATTAAATTCTAATCAAACCAACCCATATCATGAATTAAAACTAAAAATTACCTTTCTTGGCCAGCACCAGTGTTCGAAATCCGAGCTTTGATAACTTTGCCATCAACATTCAATCTTTTGCTAGTGAACTCAACATTGATTGTAGACTTGGATTTGAGACTGAGCTCATTCGCCGCCACTGCCGCCGCTCATCACTCTTCACCGGTCGAAGAATAGAGACAGTGCCGACCGATCGAAGGATATGTAGAAGACTAAGGTTAGGGTTTGGAGAGAGAGACATAGAGACAGAGAGAGGTTTGGAATCGGAAAAGATGAAAATGATTTGTTAGAGAGAGAGAGAGGTTTGGAATCTGAAAAGATGAAATTGAGATTGTGACAAACCTGTTTCCATGGCAGTATACAACACAAGGTAAAGGAGTGTCCTCTGGGAAAGGTGAACCCACATAATGACTGCATTACAAGGTGTGGCCTCTTTGATTCCTTAGCTGCAAATTTGAAATAATACATAGTCTGCGAAGCTTAAACCATAATAAATATGAAACAGAATGTGTATTGCACATAGGTAGTGGCAATGGAAGCTGAAAGTTTGGTAATGGATGTCCATACTTGCCTCAAGGTCCTGTCTTTTGTACTTTGTGCCCGCAAGAGTAAAATCCTCTTCCCATAAATACTAATCTGGATTATAATCCGCCCTGGATGTCCAGCGTATAGATGGAACAACAAATACAAGGAAGATTAAACATTGAGAAACACTAGCAAAAGCTCATAGATGTTGCATAACATTAAGGTACAAGTTAATCACATGAGAATGTGAGGCACCACCATTTAATGTATGAGATGAGAGAAGTGGTCAATCTAATCAGCTATTTGCAAAGATTAATGACTAATTTGTTCCAGTCAATTGGTCCTATTGTACAAGGACCACTTGAAAGAATGTTTATTGGGGTAGTAAGAAAACCTGAAGCCTTAAATAAAGCAACTTAGGAGAATCTTTTTGGGTTAATTTCACTTTACTCCCATGTGGTTTACCTTGAAAACACATACACTCTTTGAACTTCAAAAGCAACACTTAAACCCTGTGTTCATGACTAAAAAAAGAAATAATCATTTTTTTTCAATGCATTTTAACAGAGAGAGTAATGCACACATACTTAGAAATTGACTGAATGATTGGACAACAGTTTTTCCACCATATTGAATAAATAAAAGGACAATATTACCCTTGTTATACCAGGCCATGGAGTTGCAGTATCACTGTCTGCAACTTTTTTTTCATTATAATTTAAGCATATAGTTGTGATGAGGATGAAAACGGCAATTACAATGTGCATATTACAAAGGAGCAGTATCGAGCAATGATTGGAAAACACATTCAGAAGAACAAGAAGAGGCTCAATGATTCATTTACAAGTCCTAAAAATTAGTTCCAAGGTTTCAAAATTGGGAAATGAGCTTCAAGGTGGGTAACATAAAATTGAATCAACACCAGATCTTCTCAAATTGGGGTGACCACCTATGTTTTGGCAGTTTGTATATGTTTAATAGACTTAAATTCATGTAGGTAATTTAATCTTTTTACAGACCCTCCAACAAACTACATTGGTTTAGTTCCAATAAAATGTGAAAATGCTTGCATGTATGAGATAAAAATCACAAGCATTGGGTGTGCTTGCCTGCAAATGAGATGGCCATTCCACATGTTTGACAAACCAATCAAAAACTCAGTGTATACTCCATTCATGAATCTATCAAGCATCCTACTATCCCCTAAATTCTGCTTAAATACATAAATGCATCATACAATTTTATTTTTTTTAAACAAATTCACCAAAAACAACAGCAACAATCAATTTCAAAAAAATTATTAGTAATCTCAAACAAATTTCAACAAATCTCAACCAAACAACAACAATCTCAAGCAATCTCAAGCAAAGATTCGAAAATCTAAAGTAAATTTTAAACAAGAAATATCTATATTTCAATATTCTTACGAGTTTGAGTTTGTGATATGTGATCTACGAATAAAGCTACGATCTGCGAGGAGGGTTTGTGATCTTTGATCTCGTTGACTGATGTTCACCGAAGAGGGGTTTTGTGATGTTAGATCCTCGTCAACTGATGTTCACCGGAGAGAGATGAAAGAG